AAATGTCTTTAATTTAATTACAAAATTAAATTCGAAGTTTTTAGCTTCCATTTTTGAAACATGGTTAGAACTGTGTAGCGAAAAAACATATTTTAAATCAGTTAATTTATAATATTAATGCTCTGTAAATTTATTTTGAGCACTATTTTGTAAAAACAAAAATATCTATAAGAACACCGGATTATATATCTTACTGTTCTTTCTTTATATATATATACATATATATATATATATATATATATATATATATATATATATATATATATATATATATATATATATAAAATGTCTTTAAAAAGTAATTGCGCTTTGCCTGGCTTTCATTGCTGTGCATCGGGGACAAGTTGTCCTTCTGGACTGGTTGCCAACCATGGCTAGATGAAAAAGTCTGTCTTTATTTAACCCATAGCTAGGGAAGCAGATAAATTCACACAAATTTATAATATGCATACTTTATTTAGTTGGTTGTTGGTTCGGTAATGTTCAGTAAGACCCTTCTACGCATGACACTACTCATGGAACACAGGTATGTCTAAATTTGTAAATGTAATAATCACAATATATATATAGCTGATAAAATTTTTTGCCTACGTTACTGAGAACCTTTATTCCGTGATGACGATGATCGATGCAGGCGAATGTTTGGCCTGTTCAGGGAACATTGGACGGTTCATCTAGAATTTTGGTCCGGATATATTGGAAAACTGCAATAACCGGTGATGAGACGATTTCAGTTGAACACACACACACACGATTTTTTTCCGATCTCTTATCAAGTTGTCTTACTAATTTCAATATTGGAAACTATTAAATTTAGCAAGGTAGAAAATTAAAATATTGAATCAATGCAGTTTTTCGCCATTACGCCGGGCTGATAAACCTATATAAAACCCTTTTCAAGAAAACGTTCGTCTCTCGTCTGGTTTCTTTGAACAGGGATAAAGGTTTATCCCTTGTTTTCTGTTTAGGATTGGATTTCCGGTTTCTTTTAAAGTCTCTTATTCCTTTTCCCTGTCAGTAGCCCCTTGAATATTAGTGGCATTATCACCTTGCTTGGGATGAAATATATACATAAATAGTGTGATGGTTAAAAAAACCTGAAGTAGAGGAAGATGTTATTTTAAAAAGTACTGCCTAAAAAGAGGATTGTGTAAATACTAAACTGACTGTTTTTTTCGATCGACCCTTATCAAATGTTTCTTTTCATGTTTTTTATTAGTACATTTCTAAATACTTTCTTCTTATCCATAGATATTTTCGACATATTTCAGCTTCCTTGTGCTACATTTGGAGATAAATCTATGTAAAAGTAATGAAAGCACTTATAAAAACGTCTTTAATGTAGTTTGTATGATATTACTGACAAAAAGGTAATCTACTTTCATTTTATATATATATATATATATATATATATATATATATATATATATATATATATATTTTACACACACACACACACACGATAATAATTTCCTCTTATTTAAGGTAACAAAACAACAGCTACTTTTTTGGGCCAATTTAAAAACATAAATTGTTACCTTCAAACTTCTGAACTGCAGTATATTTGTGTATATATATATATATATATATATATATATATATATATATATATGAAGAAATATACTCTTAAGGTGTGCTGTATTTATGGGATAAAGTGCTCAATATTAGAGATAGAGCGTGTGTAAATATAAAAAGTGAACATTGAAGTCAACACTTAGAGGCGACAGGCTGTTTCATGCTAGACGCAATCGTCAGGCCACGAGTGTTGTTTTCTACAACACTCGTGGCCTGATGATTGCATCTAGCCCTTAAACAGCCTGTCGCCTTTATTTATATATATATATATATATATATATATATATATATATATATATATATATATATATATATAAAATTCTATTTTATAATCAATCTTTGGCAACATAATCTCAGTGCGTAGATATACATCGATTTTCTTGTCAAAATTATTTCTTCTCGCTCCATTATTTACTTTCGGATCCCAATCAGATTTAAGGTTAGAAATGGCATCACGATATTTTCCACTGATTCATTTTTAAAAAAAATAATACAACCTAAGATCAGTCAAATTTTATATATAGACAAAACCCATAAAGTGTGAGCTGTACTTGGGAGTGCAATTTTTTTTAGACATAGGCTACAAGGGATCCTTTCAATGAATCTATCGGAACCTTTTCTGGTCAAACCGAGGGATCTAACTATAAATGGAGTTAGTGACGTCCTCATGTTCCATATTCTTTTAGATTTCCACTTCAAGATACTTGTATTTTGATAATTTTTGAAGATCACCAAAGATACATTACAATCTGCAGGAACTGCCATGTCTTATATGAAGCGACTAATCGTTTTTTGTCTCGTATTTAAATTTTACAAGCTATATCTGTCATGCAACCATTTTATTATTATAGTACTTCAGAGAAAATGTTAAAATCACCACATGCATATAGATGTAATATCTTTTAAAGTTTTTACTCTTAATTAGGTACCTCCACGAAATCGCTAAAAAATAGCCTAGCTTGATGAAAAAGACGCCAACCTTGCTGAAAACAAAATTTTATCGTCTAAATGCTTATGTTATTATTAAGAGGAAAGACTAAAGATTTTTTTTTTTTGATTATTTTTAAAAAAAAATTCCTTTTTAGAACATTCTAAATTTTGATTAAGAAACTTTGTTTCTCTTTGTATCAGCGGAACTAGTAAATAACATAGACAATATTTAGCAAGTTTTTTTGGTATGACACATTAATTTGGAAAATCTTGCAAAAATATAAATAATTGTTGGATGTTAATGAAACTTTCAGGAACTATTCACAGATGATCGAATTTATTATAAATATGTTTGTTTTTTTTTTATTAAAGTCATGGCAAAAATATTTTTTTTCATATTTATTACCACCACCCATAACTAATTTTATGAAAATGCTAGAAATTCGATCGAGTCTAGTTTAATGATTACAATAGTTTTTTTTTTAGCGATCTCTTGGAGGTACCTGCAATCTTAATCAAATTATTTGCATTTAAGCTTTTAAGTATATATATTTTTAACCGCACTCTCACAGAATGATTTTTTAACTCTCGGTGACGTAAATATTTTTGAATGGTCCCACATTGTTGTAATAATAATAACAAAAAAACATGTTAGTTATATTCGTCAGTACAAGGAAGATAACTATATTATAGCAAAATAAATTGCAGTTAAGAATATTCAAAGTCAGATACAAGTTAATCTTATTTTTGGGACATAGCTGCAAGTATAGTGCGATGACTGAAGTTATGAGAAAAATAATTTGAGTATATATTACATTTTAGAAAACTAGTCACTACTATTAGTTGACTTATTTTGCCTCGCGTCTCACTCACTAACTCATTCATCACGTATATATATATATATATATATATATATCCATTCACCCCCTACACAGTACCAAAATGTAAGGAAGAAAGTAGATATGTATTATTAGCGTAAATTTCAGCTTCTTTATTTTATATCGAGCACTATGATTACCACTATATAACAGATAAAAGTAGTCAATAAAACAATGTCGAAGTATTTGTTTTCCATATAATACAGTGTGCACATAGCCAAACACGACTGCGAGTTCGGATTATTTAATTATATATATATATATATATATATATATATATATATATATATATATATATATATATATATTTATAATAATAAAAAAATATAGGTTTACGGTATGTTATATTTATGGCCTGAAGATTTGCGTTGAAGCATGAAACAGACTGTCGTCGCTTCATGTTGATCACCACTGGCAACTTATATAATCGCGCACAGCGTGCTTTAGCTGTAATCATAGTGTTCGATATACAATAAAAGAAACTGAAATTTACGCTAATAATAAATATCTACTTTGTTACTACATTTTGGTACAGTGGATGGGGGAATATATATATATATATATATATATATATATATATATATATATAGATAGATAGATAGATAGATAGATAGATAGATAGATAGAGAGAGAGAGAGAGAAAAAAAGGGGTGTGTGTGAGAGAGAGAGAAGAGAAATACCGTTTAAAGTAACCACCCCTGAAAAGTGGAAATTTTAACAAAAACATCGATGTCAAGCTAAAATTGATATTTAAAAGTTAAGTAATCTTTTCATATATATATATATATATATATATATATATATATATATATATATATATATGTATGTATGTATGTATGTATGTGTGTGTGTGTGTGTTCGTGTGCGTGTGTGAATGCCACACCTGCATAGTGATTGGCAATTTCGCACATTCTGCAGTCATCCAATCATCTTGCCAAGACATTATGATCTCCTGATCGTTTCAGACGGGTAATTATCAGTCAATATGTAGTGTTTATTTCTACGTATATTCACACTGTTATAAAAGCTATATCTCCTTTTTGTGCACTCTGTAAATAAAGCCAGATTTAAAATCTGTTCACACACTCGCACACACACACGTGAGTCGCATTGTCGTTTCGATTCGTTTATGTTTTTAGGACGATGAACTAAATTCCATTTTCCTTATTACATAATTGCGTGTTGTGTCCGCCTTCGTATTGGACAAACCTGAGTGTCTCTATATTCCAAAGTGTGCACAACAAAATAAATCCAGTACTGGGTATAAGCACACCAACATTATTAACCAGTCAATTTCCCAATCTGATTATGTCCACATCTCTATAATAAATACGTACTTATCTCGGGCTGAAATAATTCACGCTGAGATAACGTTTTTTTGTTTTGTTTTTTTGTTTCTGTATTTGTGAGGTAGACCGACAAACAAGTGCAATGTCCGATTATAAAGCAATATAGTCGACTCCCTCTTTCGATCTGCAGAGATGTCGCCACGTAACGATATTGACCTGACCTGTGCGCGTAGTAATTCACCTTCTGAATGAAAATCAATTCGACCGTAGAACACAGTATTTCGAAAGACTGTCCGTCCGCATTTCGCTCTTGTAATTGCTAAACAACATGCCTGAAACATCCTGCTTGTCATTTTCCCCCGTCTTGAATAATTCTACTTCTTTCTCTTTTCTTTTTCTATCTCTTTCTTTCTCTTTTACCTCTTTTCCTCTTTTTTCTCTTTTCTTTCTATCTCTTTCTCTCTTTCTTTCTATTTCTTTCGTTCTTTCTCTATCTCTTTCTCTCAATCTCTTTTTCTCTCTATCTCTTTTTCTCTCTATCTCTTTTTCTATCTCTTTTTCTTTCTCTCTCTCTTTCTTTCTCTCTTTCTTTCTCTTTTTCTTTCTCTCTCTCTTTCTTTCTCTTTCTCTTTTTCTTTCTCTTTCTTTTTCTCATTCTCTTTCTCTTTTTCTTTCTCTTTCTCTTTCTTTCTCTTTCTATTTCTTTCTCTTTCTTCTCTCATGGTTTGTCTTCTCTCTTTGTTTTTCTTCTCTCTCTTTGTTTTTCTTCTCTCTCTTTGTTTTTCCTCTTTGTTTTTCTCTCTCTTTCTCTCTATCTCTTTCTCTCTTTCTCTCTATCCCTCTATCTCTGTTTCTTTCTCTGTTTCTCTCTCTCTCTTTCTCTCTCTCTTTCTCTCTCTTTCTTTCAATTTTACTTCTTTTCCTCATTTTTCTCTTCTCTTCCTTTCTCTTTCTGTCTTTCTCTCTAGCTCTCTCTATCTCTTTCTCTCTATCTCATTTCTCTGTCTCTCTATCTCTTTCTCTCTATCTCTTTTTCTTTCTTGCTCTTTCTCTTTCTTTCTCTCTCTTTCTATTTCTCTCTCTTTTTCTTTCTCTCTCTTTCACTTCCTTACTTTTTCTTTCTTTCTCTCTTTGTTTTCTTCTCTCTTTGTTTTCCTTCTCTCTTTGTTTTTCTTTGCTTTTCTTTCTCTTTCTTTCTTTCTTTTTTCTCCATCTCCCTTTTCTTTCTCTCTTTTTTCTCTCTCTTTCTCTTTTTCTTTCTCTTTTTCTTTCTCTTTTTCTTTCTCTTTCCCTTTTTCTTTCTCTTCATCTTTTCTGTCTCTTTGTCTTTCTCTCTATCTCTATCTTTTTATCTCTATATCTCTCTATCTCTATCTCGTTCTTTATCTCCTTCGCCCTTTTTCTCTTTCTTTATCTTCTCTCTCCCTCTTCTTCTTCTTTTTTCTATGTCAGTGTTTGTTTATCTCTCTCTTCTTTCCGTTCGTTTTTATTATAGTATTCCGTCTTGTATCCATAATTCTCTCTTTTTTTCACTTTTTTTTTTATTCCTTTTATTCTCTTTTTTATTTATTTTATTTTTTCCAATACTGTCATTCTTTTTCTAAAAGATCCTCCCACACGTGGAACTTGACAAAAATCTAATGTTTAGTAAATATTTAAATTTCAGTTGCCTTCTTTTGTATGTTTACATTTATTACCTGTCTTCAGTTTTATTTTTTACCTATTTCGTCTATCACATCTTTCCTTCTTTTTTGAAAACCTGATCATTTTTTCCCACTTTTCCTTTAGCTAAACTCGATGTTAATTGTTTAGGCCCAGGGTTGTTTCTCTTTGTTAAAAGCCACCACAATGTCCATCTCTTCTTCCTTCATGCTTTTCTTCACTCCTATGACTTTATTTTTTAGTTTTCACCTTTTTTTTCTCTCATCCCTGTTTAATTTATTACATTTTGCAATATAATGACGGTCTGTACAACAATGTAACTTTAATATATATTCCGTGAAACGCTTCGGAAAAATTCGTGATTTTCCGTAGCCAAGTAGCATCATATCACAGTGAAGACTAGAAGAAGGGAGACAAGATGAAATGAATCCAAACTATAAATTCGTAATGATTTAAACCAACTCAGCATGAAAAATTGTTACACACACGTGCGTGTATATATATATATATATATATATATATATAATTGATTTTTTTAAATATTTTTATACTATAATATAGATTTTTAAAGATCGAGGAGCGGGAAAGAAATGTTATTCATTTTGTTTTTATTTCTGTCCTTGCTATTTTTCTTTTACCTGTAGTATGAACATAATATCCACACACTTAACCCTCATAATGGAAAACTGAATGGGAAACATTAAAAAAAAGACCTTTTCATTTGACAAATCATTATATATATATATATATATATATATATATATATATATATATATTGTGTGTGTGTGTGTGTTTATGCGTACGTAAATCATCTAGTTCAGTTTAAACATATTTGTTTCGATAACCCGTGCTATCATGTGTAGGTTTTATGAAATATATACGTCAAAATATAAATTTATTATTCTGATTTCATCTGTAACAAATGCAACTCGCGGACGAAAACTTGAACAAAAATCCATTGCATATAGACTGCACTTTTTTTTTTTTCGAAAAAAAATTGTCCCTTCATATATACTAAATGTCGATGACAAATGTGGACTAACTCTTCGTACTGTAGGCTATAGATTTTTGTTTTTTTTTTAAAACCAATCATTTGGTTACAAAGAATAAGTATAAATATTCGTAAATTATTTACTTTAAACGATATTATTATTATTATTATTGATATTCACTTTTAAAGTGATATTTAAAATAGTCTCGGCTTTAGTAGTTTCCCAGTGCCTTTTCAATAAAGATTTTGATGGTAACTGTTTTGAGGAGCTTTCATCTGTGGTACTTTGACTTTACGAGGTTAAGCACATTACTGGATTGGCAGATCTCATCTTTTTACTACCGAAATTAAGCGTAAATGCATGTCCTATGCTAATACTGGAGCTATTAACCACCTTCTATTTGAAACTATAAAAATAAATTTCTGGTTTGAAATTATAAAAATAAAAAAAGTTAAAATATTTTAAATTATTTTTTTATCAATAAATTCATAAAATTGATTTAAAATGACAACACTTGGACTGTTGCAATAAAATGAAATGGTTTTTTAAAAATTTAAATTTTTTTTTTGTCAAATTTTCTAATAAGAAAGTCAGAAAAGATAAACATCAATATTATTGTTTAAAATTAAAATCCACAAAAATTATTTATCATATTAAGAAAAATAATTTTTTTTGGAATAAAATAGATCTGAAGAAAAAATATTGTATATGGTTGACTGTAATTTGCCGTAATTTTTCTTTTTTTTTCTGAATTTTTCTGAAAAAATTCTCTTCCGGTTTCTTTCTTTCCTGACGATTTTTTTATTCTTAGGGGCTTTATGCCCTTACTGGATTTTTATAAATGATTAAAAAACAGTCGGGTATGAGTTAGTGACTGAGAAAAAGAAATCGACATGTACGTTCGAGTTTGTTACATTCGCCTTTTTTATTATAAAATAAGGGCAAATTTTATCTTTGAAAAAAATTGATTTAATCAGTCGTGGGTTTAATAGCAGCGCTGACTTTACTGTCTTGCCTTGAGATGACGACCACTGCTACTATGGCTACAGTTCATATGGTTATCCATCGACACTAACGATTACTAGACTGGTCGAAAAAAAACTTCAAAGCGTACCAAAATACTGGTAAAATCTTGTAAATATAACAACTTTTATAAAAAAAAAAAGAAATTTGCTATTACAATTTCAAAATTTTGCTTCCTATTGACAGAAATGGGTTACCCATTGTATGACACTCTTTAATGTTCTTTGTTTGTTAAAATAAAAATTAAAATATAAACCTCGAAAAACAAAATCAATGTTTGTAAAAGCCTAACCCTAACTAATTGGATAGGGTGCTTTTTCAAAGGAACACATTTAAAAGACAAAATCAAATGATAAAGAGAAAAAACAAAACTTGAAGATGAACGTCAACAGAAAAGATAGACATCTACCTGTACAATAATGGAAAGTGCTCAATGTTTAAATCCAAACAATGAAGACAGAACAGTAACCCTAACAATTGACAAATATCTGATATATAATTAATGATCGTTAGATTACATCGAACCCATTCTGCTGCCAGCAGGAATTACTTGACGTTCAATTTTAAAGAAATAAACCATATTCCTTGACATTCAATTTTAGAAATGCACATATTCTAATAGATTTCAAAGCTAAAAAAAATTTCATCTTGAAAAAATATTTACACTGAAAATGGGAAAATAATCTCTAAAAATATCCCTTTATAATCTGTTCAAGTTAGGATTGCATTTGAAATATTTTCATTCGATTGCTGGAAGGAGAGTGTCACTGCAATCGGCATTCCATCGTTTTGTTCTCCAGGGATACAAAATACTATTTCATTTTTAAGATATATATATATATATATATATATATATATATATATATATATATTCTATTTTCCGAATGATTTCTTTTCTGTCATCGAAGTAACTCACGTTTTAAATTTCAGCTTTCCTCCAAATGGAGACGGAACTAAGCCTTTTCAGAAATAAAAATTCATTATCAACAGACATAAGAACGGAGACAGGATTAGAAATTCTTTATGGCGAGGGTAAAACAGAAGTGCATCAGTTTACGTTGCACGTTCAAAAATTGCTTGTAACACACGTAGATACAACTAGAACGGATAAATTTCATTTTAAAGGATTTGCACATAATAAATAGGTCTCCGTTATATTTTCTTAAGAATTTCATCCCAGGCAAGGCAAATTTGTTCCACTTATAATATTATTATAAATTCTAATATAGATATAATGATTTGACAGATAATATTTTGGTATGCGGTGATTGATTTTTATAAAATTAGAAAAGATAAACATATATATCAATATTAACGGAAATTTTTGACACTGTATTTAAAAATTTTTTTTTTGATCGTAGTTATCATTTATTTTTATCAGTAAAGGAAGGATTTCCACAGTCAATTTATCGAAAAAATTGTTGGAAAAATATGAAACAAGTTCAGGTTACACATAACTATTCTAATATTTAAAAGGTAGAAAATATATTAATCTAGTAGCACGCTTAAATTCATACAGTCAAAATTTTAAAAAATCACTCCTCAGAAAATATCATTGCCATGAAAATATTTGTAGAAAAGACAGAGAGAAGCCACATCATTTTTGTAAGAAAGTGACTGAAATCGAGACGACATGTCAGGATCAGTTACATTGCAGATCATTCCCTGGATCTTGTCTAGAAACTTGAGATGCAAAACTTGGGCACCAGACAAGATATGGCAACAGTATTCAATGCAAGGACGAATGGTAAATTTGTAGATCTGTAAGATGGACTCTGACGAAAAAAAAAAAAAAAACAGAAAACAGAACAACTTTCCTTGCAAACATTATTTTAACTATAAAAGATGATTCAATGTAGGTGTTCCACCTCAAGTTAGTCGAAAACGTGATGACAAGAAGTCGCACATGAACGCTATCCCGAAAAATAAATTCAACTATACACCTGATAATTCAAATGACCATCCGGTTTGTATAGAAAACTAAAATGCTTTTTCCTGATAGGCATTTACTTGTATCAGGTCATCCCATAAGTTCTCTCCGAATTCTACCTTTTTTTTAAAATGAAAGTATTTTATAATGTCTAATGTACCTGAACATTATTTTTATGTTTAGATGCATTTAAACTGATCAAATTTTACTTCAGAGAACAATAAAATTAAATTTTGTTTGATTAAAACTCTGCTAACATGGAAGTACCCAAGAATCATTTGAGGTACATAATGCTTTATGAGTTCAAGAAAGGAAACTCAGCAGCCGAAGCGGCTAGAAACATTCACTCACTTTATGGAGAGGAATGTGTGAATGAAAGAACTTGCAGAAGATTGTTTGCAAAATTCAGAGGTGAAGATTTCACCCTTGAAGATGAAGATCGAACCGGACGTCCAGTTGAATTTGATGAAAAGCTTCTTGAAGCATCCTTTGAAGAAAATCCTGCTTTATCAGTTGAGGAATTGGCAGTGGTTCTCAGTTCAAACCATACAACTGTTCATCGTCATCTTCAACAACTTGGAAAAGTTCCTAAACTTGGAAAATGGGTGCCTCATGAATTGTCTGAAAACAACCTCAAATCCTGAGTTGACATCTGCTCTTCTCTCCATTCTCGCCAACTTGTTTCACCTTTTTTGGATAGACTTGTGACTGGCGACGAAAAATGGATCTTTTATCGAAATGTTAAGCGTCGTAGACAGTGGCTTGGTAAAGGGGAAGGACCCCAGCCACAGCCGAGAAAGGAACTTCATGGGCAAAAGGTTCTTCTTTCAATCTGGTGGGATCACCAAGGAATAATCCACTTTGAATTCTTACCACCTAATGCAACAA